TGAAAGTGTTGGCAAGCTTTTTGATAATCTCCTTCGCGATAGAATAAACATCCAAGATTAATAATTGAATCAATATCACCAGAATGATTTTGTTCAACTATACTACGTGAACCAGATAAATCTCCTTCACCATAATGTATAGCAGCATTGAGTTTGTTAAGTTTTTCCTTAAAATTTGGATCTTCAATTTGAGCTGCAGCCTTTTTTTGTAAAAAAGAAAAAGAGAAAAGAACACATTATATGTGAAAATTATATTTGAAATATTCTCAGCGATTGAAATTTAACTAATTCCAACGTTTCGTCCAGCTAACTTGTCTGGACTTCTTCAGGGTAATAATCAAAATCAAAATTATCAAAGAAATATATAGCTTTTGACAATCAGGATTATACTGTGTTAAACCAATCATATTTGGGTGTTGATTTTTGTAAAATAGGATAAAATGAGTCAGTTGACTACAAATCATGTGATGAATTCAACTACATGGAAATACTTAACTGAGTAACAAATCGTATGTGTGTGAGTGTGTATGTATGTATGCATGTGTGAGAGATTGATATGAAGGAATAAATAAAGTTCAAGTTCAAGGATGAAAATTTTTGATAATGAAAGATCGATGTGCATGTCAAAACATAAATTGTATTGTTTAGAAACTCATTCAGTTCTTTCAATAATAATAACGATGCATGTGATATTAAAAACAGGTTTAAACAAGAGATAGGTTCCAAATTTACTTGTCAAACGAAATTTGCCAGGTAGTTGCCATTTGAATACCATCTTTTCGGTTCAGGCTGTTCTTGTTCGCCCATATATGCAGAGCTTCTGCTGTCAATCTTTCTTTATGGGTGTTAAAACCTTTCTGAAGTATTTTGGTCCCTTCAAAATTAATCTTGTGTCCTGTTTCTAACGCATGTAACGCTATCGCTGACTTATTTTCAAGTTTCTTTAAATCTACCGAGGATTTTGGAACATTTTTCAAGCATTGTTTGTGTTCCTTCAATCTTACATTTAATTGCCTGGATGTTTCTCCAACATAGGTAGCATTACAGTCATGACAGTGAATCTCATACACAATGTTCTGTTGTTCTTCCTTTGCTAACTTGTCCTTAACTTTCACTAATGTCGATCTTAATGTGTTATTTGCTCTAAAATACACTCTTATATCATGTTTGTTTAGAATCCGTTTGATTTCTTCTGATGTTTCACTCCGGTAAGGTATGACTACGGTGTACTTCCATTCTTTTCGTATACTTTCTAGTTTAGTTTTTCTTTCATTTTTAATAATCTTTTTTAAAAACCTTTTTGGGTAGTTGTTATCCCTAAGAGTAGAAAATACTTTATTTAATTCGGTTCGTTGGTCTTCCTTGTCTGTAACAATCTTAGTACTTCTGTTCATTAGATTTTTTACCACATTAATTTTCGTGCTCTGTGAATGGGCCGAATTAAAATCCAAGTATCTCTCGGAATGCGTTGGTTTTCTGTAAACATTTATTTTTAACTTCTTATTATTGTGTCGACGTTCAACCAGACAATCTAGAAATGCTAGTTTGTGGTCAACTGATTCTAATTCCTTAGTTAGTTTAATGTTTTCAGAAATGCTATTTGCATTGTTAAATAGTTCTTCCATACCATCCCGTTTATTGATAATAAAAATGTCGTCTACATACCGTAACCATATCTTTGGTGGACATAAACTCTTTGCGATTGCACTAGTTTCTAGGGAATGCATGAATAAATTCGCTACAATCGGAGAAACTGGTGAGCCCATTGCTATGCCCTCTTTCTGTCTGTAAAGTTGACCTCGAAATATGAATAAGGTAGATCTTAAACATAATTCTAAGCATTTTATAACCTCTGATGGATCTAATGGGCATCTTAAATTCAAATCTAAATCAGATTCTAAATAATCATTGATAATATCCATAGCTCGACTGATAGGTACATTAGTGAATAAGGAAGATACATCAAAACTTGCCATTATTTCGTCCTCTTCTATATCGATGGTATCAATTAAATTCTTGAATTCCATAGAGTTTTTAATTCCATGATTAATTCGTTTTTCATATGGTTTGAGAATCTTAGCTAAATATTTAGCTAGATTGTAAGTCGGTGAATTTGTATAGTCTACCACTGGTCTTAGTGGTGTATTATTCTTGTGGATCTTTGGTAGCCCATAAAATCTGCATGGATTACAACTCTTTGGATACAACATAAACCATAAGGACGATCCTAGCTTAGCTTTTAATGACTGTAAGAGTTTGCTAGTTTGCGCCTTGAGTTTATTAAGAGTTGTTCTACTTTTCGCTTCTTTGATTTGTTCATATGGACCCTCTTGTAGATGTTCTTTGGCTTTGTTCTCATACTCTGTTTTATTCATAATAACTGTAGTATTACCTTTATCTGCTCTCGTTATTATGATCGTTTTGTCTTCTCTCAGCTGTTTTAATGCGTAGTATTCATTTTTATTTATGTTAGGGTTGTGAGGTTTCTGATGTAATAATGTGTTCATTATTTTATTCCTCAGTTCATTCGCTGTATCATTCGGGAGTATATTCAGCGCTGGTTCTACTGTTGGTATAACATTGAAAGGTGTTAATTTATGTCTATTTATATTGAAGTTGAGACCCTTTTTGAGTAATGATATTTCATGTGGGTTGAGAGGTCTATCCGATAAATTAACGATTATTTTATTCATATCATTTGTGTTAGATCTATTTTCCGTCTGTTGAACTTTGGTGTTTGTTGAATGTTTCAATAGTTTTTCAAACTTCCTAATTTGTCGTTGTTTTGATGATTGGTAATAAAATTGTTCTCTACGTTTGAAAAATTCAATTATATCTGATCTTATTTCGTTCGGTGCGATAACTGACAATATGTCATCGATATTACAAACCCTTGAACGTAGTGCCTCCAAATTCGTAGTGGCCTTGTGTATACGTTCTCTAATAAATGTTCTAGTGGCTGATATCGCCGCTTTGATTGACCGAATAGAATTGTCTGGAGATTTGACCATCAGAGATTTTGGATAAACATTTTGTTTTAAGCATCGTATATTAAACAACTCTTAATAAACTCAAGGCGCAAACTAGCAAACTCTTACAGTCATTAAAAGCTAAGCTAGGATCGTCCTTATGGTTTATGTTGTATCCAAAGAGTTGTAATCCATGCAGATTTTATGGGCTACCAAAGATCCACAAGAATAATACACCACTAAGACCAGTGGTAGACTATACAAATTCACCGACTTACAATCTAGCTAAATATTTAGCTAAGATTCTCAAACCATATGAAAAACGAATTAATCATGGAATTAAAAACTCTATGGAATTCAAGAATTTAATTGATACCATCGATATAGAAGAGGACGAAATAATGGCAAGTTTTGATGTATCTTCCTTATTCACTAATGTACCTATCAGTCGAGCTATGGATATTATCAATGATTATTTAGAATCTGATTTAGATTTGAATTTAAGATGCCCATTAGATCCATCAGAGGTTATAAAATGCTTAGAATTATGTTTAAGATCTACCTTATTCATATTTCGAGGTCAACTTTACAGACAGAAAGAGGGCATAGCAATGGGCTCACCAGTTTCTCCGATTGTAGCGAATTTATTCATGCATTCCCTAGAAACTAGTGCAATCGCAAAGAGTTTATGTCCACCAAAGATATGGTTACGGTATGTAGACGACATTTTTATTATCAATAAACGGGATGGTATGGAAGAACTATTTAACAATGCAAATAGCATTTCTGAAAACATTAAACTAACTAAGGAATTAGAATCAGTTGACCACAAACTAGCATTTCTAGATTGTCTGGTTGAACGTCGACACAATAATAAGAAGTTAAAAATAAATGTTTACAGAAAACCAACGCATTCCGAGAGATACTTGGATTTTAATTCGGCCCATTCACAGAGCACGAAAATTAATGTGGTAAAAAATCTAATGAACAGAAGTACTAAGATTGTTACAGACAAGGAAGACCAACGAACCGAATTAAATAAAGTATTTTCTACTCTTAGGGATAACAACTACCCAAAAAGGTTTTTAAAAAAGATTATTAAAAATGAAAGAAAAACTAAACTAGAAAGTATACGAAAAGAATGGAAGTACACCGTAGTCATACCTTACCGGAGTGAAACATCAGAAGAAATCAAACGGATTCTAAACAAACATGATATAAGAGTGTATTTTAGAGCAAATAACACATTAAGATCGACATTAGTGAAAGTTAAGGACAAGTTAGCAAAGGAAGAACAACAGAACATTGTGTATGAGATTCACTGTCATGACTGTAATGCTACCTATGTTGGAGAAACATCCAGGCAATTAAATGTAAGATTGAAGGAACACAAACAATGCTTGAAAAATGTTCCAAAATCCTCGGTAGATTTAAAGAAACTTGAAAATAAGTCAGCGATAGCGTTACATGCGTTAGAAACAGGACACAAGATTAATTTTGAAGGGACCAAAATACTTCAGAAAGGTTTTAACACCCATAAAGAAAGATTGACAGCAGAAGCTCTGCATATATGGGCGAACAAGAACAGCCTGAACCGAAAAGATGGTATTCAAATGGCAACTACCTGGCAAATTTCGTTTGACAAGTAAATTTGGAACCTATCTCTTGTTTAAACCTGTTTTTAATATCACATGCATCGTTATTATTATTGAAAGAACTGAATGAGTTTCTAAACAATACAATTTATGTTTTGACATGCACATCGATCTTTCATTATCAAAAATTTTCATCCTTGAACTTGAACTTTATTTATTCCTTCATATCAATCTCTCACACATGCATACATACATACACACTCACACACATACGATTTGTTACTCAGTTAAGTATTTCCATGTAGTTGAATTCATCACATGATTTGTAGTCAACTGACTCATTTTATCCTATTTTACAAAAATCAACACCCAAATATGATTGGTTTAACACAGTATAATCCTGATTGTCAAAAGCTATATATTTCTTTGATAATTTTGATTTTGATTATTACCCTGAAGAAGTCCAGACAAGTTAGCTGGACGAAACGTTGGAATTAGTTAAATTTCAATCGCTGAGAATATTTCAAATATAATTTTCACATATAATGACTTCTCTATACTCGGCGCTCAATTACTGTCAAACTATTCGTTCTAATCTTGACGAATATTCGTATAGAAAAGAACACAGTTTATAGTAAATAAATGGTAAACATATTGATCCGAGATAATCAAGAGATTTATACAATAACTGTTGACATCGTACTTGATGCAGTGTATGGAGGTCATAGATTCAAACCTGTTTAGAGTTCTGGATGCGTGGACACTTGGACTCAGAATATTCAACCACAACAAACTTAATTTCACTCTTTTTTAATTAGTCTCCGCATGAAATCATTTCATGGTGAAAGCTACTGTTTTATAAATGTAAGATGTAAGACATGTGTTTCTCCAAGTATCTACCTTTCTTCTAACAAGCTCTGAGTCTTCAAATTCATCCAAATCAATAATAAAGTACTTAATCTGTAAGTTATACCATTTAGTTTTAGGAGATGTATAGCGATATGGCTTTAACATATGTAACTCATTAAATTTAGAAACCACAATCTTGAAAATTGGGATAAATTAAACTAGTCTTTCAAAATGACATTAAATTGATATAGGTTTGTAGAGAATGTTGAGTTTTCTTAATTGAAAGCATGAACTGATCTATATTAGACAGCCGTTGCAAACCTGGAAGCACTGGACAGCCTTTTCTTCTTGATGCGGGACTCCTCGATAGTGTGCATACAGGACTCAAACCCAGGACCTTCGGTATCTCTCGAACGCCTAACTTCTAGACCACTGAATCGGTATCTGGCGGTGCTAATGTTTGATCTTAATCGACACACAATCTTGAGCAACCTTTCATCCATTGCTTGTGGTGGATAACTATCTCACACGCGATATGGTTGAACTCCACTGGTCACTAGTGACCAGCTTCGAGAGGTAATCTTTGCATTCCTAGTGAGAGGCCGTGACTAGTGGAGTTCAATCGTGTCAGTTGTCAGGCAGTTACCCGTCGAAGACAATCGAGGATGGTCGCGCAATATTGTGGAGTTATTGAAGTTAGACATTAACACCCGTCGATACCGGCTTAGTGGTCTAGAAGTTAAACGTTCGACAAAGACCGAAGGTCTTGGGTTCGAGTCCCGTGTGCTGGATCGTGAATGCACACTACCGAGGAGTCCCGCATCAAGAATAAAAGGCTGTCCAGTGTTTCCAGGTCTCCAGTTGTGGTCTAATATTGATCAGTTCCTGATCGCAATTGAAAAAATTAGTAACAGAATCTGAATGGAACAATAATTTTGATTGATGGATTAGGATTTTATTCAGTTTCTCCATTGAGATTGATTATAAGTCAATTGCAATGACAATCTCATCTAGCTGCGTCAACAGAGTGCGACAACGTGAATCGATGTGTACACATGCCAGGTTCTACTTCGCGTTTTACTGACTGACCGAAATATTAGAATCTGATATCTGATAAATTAAATTCACAAACCCTACTGGCATGAAAGGTTGGCCATACAGATTAACCCCATACACCATCTCGACCACGTTGACTGAATCTTCTTTGTATGTCAAGATCATACTGTGGCAGAGACCATTTTTATGCATCAATAATGTCTACTTTAACTACTTCAGCCTCAGTCTTGAGGTTATTCTATAACTCTAAAAGATAAGAGCAGTGATTTATGCAATGTAAATTGAACAAAAATTCGCCGGGAAGAAATATATTCTTGTGTTTTTAAGTATAGTTACTGACTGAAACTATCGACCATCTATATAAACAACATGTAGAAAGGAGGATGGTGTTACTGATGCCAATGGATAAAGTAAAGGAGTATCTGCTAAAACACACAATGGATACCTAGTTTACGTTGAACGACGAACTCTACTGACAATTAGCATTTGGAACTATCCTAGGCCCAGTTTTTACCTGTATATTTTGTTGGTAACTTGGAGAATGGACGGATATATGACACTCTTAACAAACTGGAATACTGCTCCAGTTACATGGATGATAAAGCAGTTATCTGCAACAAAACGAACAAAATACAAGAACTCTTAAAAACACTTATTAATATATATCTGTCGATTATACTTGTTTGTCGAGATAAAACGTGATAACCGTTTAGCACTTGTAGACGTTATGTTTTGAAAAGGTCGAACAATTTGGCAAAAAGTAATAAATTTGGAATGGTAACTCGAACAGTGCAATATATCTGCTACCATAGCTTCATATATCTCCAGTATAAAATTTGTCTAGTTGAATCTCTGAGCCACAAAATCCGAGGACTACGTCCTCAGGATATCATATAGGAAGAGTTAAGCAATCCAAGGGTAATGCTACTAAAAAATGGATACCCTGATGATTTCATTATGAAATGAATAACTAAACCTAAACGTAAAGGACGGACTTTCACAGCTAAAAAGTGAACTCTATATCTAAGGCCTGATTTTAAGTGATAAACGAGTAAAATCCTAATCTGTTGAATAAGCATTTTCACTAAAACAACTCTCAAGATATATGTAACTTTCTCAATAAATCCATTGCTGACGCAGAAAGTTAAGGATAAGTTCCCTATATTGGGTTTACTTGTATGTGTTTATTAATTTGGCTGCTCCAGTGGGGCCAATTATATTAGCCGTACTCAATGATCCTTATCCTTAGGTGATCGTGGAAATGCACCGACACAGTTGCGAAAACACTTTGTGAAGTCTATTAACAATGCCACCCTTTTCTAATTAATTGACTATGGACATAACATTAACATCAAAAATGCCTTCTCAATTATACATCAAAATCCTAGTACTCAACCGAAAAACTAACGATTATTCTCACGTCATGTAGCTGGAGCAATTAGTGTCGATTCAAAAAAACCTAATTTGTACATACAAAAAGATTCACATAACCCTTTTGTTTACAGCAGCCTGTATTAGAGTTGCTCTATTCTTATTGCTAACTATATCCCTTCTATATTCATTATGACGTTTGCTCTTTTTCTTCAATACTCTTCGTTCTCACACATTCTATGATGATTTTTGAACATATTCGTGTTGTAATAAACAATGAGTAAAAGCCATTTTTAAGTAGATTTTGCCTGCCAGCATCTTAGAAATAAAAACCTGTCCAAAATAAAGCCCTCTAAGATTTACTGCTACGTTTTGAAATATCAAATGGATTGAAAGGAATACAGGCATGGGCCATACATCTTATACACCTTATTTATGACAAACCGTTCACCAAGAATATGTGTTACAAAGCCAGGTTTTATTCAATTCATTTATGTTAAACTCATTGATACTACCCAGGTGCCGTAGTTGGAGTAAAAATATCATGTTTATACTTACAATCTAGTAATTGTAAACCAAACCCACAAACAAATAATCTTTCAATCTATATAAAAACAAGAATTTTTAATGAGATCTGGAAAATGTATAAATTTTTAATAGTTGTTCATAACAACTTTTATGTTCATCATCTCGATAAAATAATCCTGAAAAGTTTAATGAAAGGGCATGAACGAAGCTCATTTACATGTAAATCTCAGTCACATTCATTTTAATCACATCGTGTGTTTAAGAAAATAAGATCTTGCTAAAATATGCATTTTAAAAGACTACTTAAATTATCTGCTAAATATCTTATAAGTCGTGAGTTATAGGCTTATTTGATCTTTTAATTGAGTATTGAAGAATAACCCCATTAATTCTCACCAGTGTGAGCAGAGTGATGATGTGTAAATATTTTCATTTTGAGACTGAACAAAAAGTCAACTAAACATATTTATAAAATGATCTAAAAAATTATACGGCAGTTGATGGTTATGATATTGTTTACTCTCAGTTCTGTGGTAGACCAAAAGTATAATAACCAAAAATTAGCGATAAAGTTATCACGTCCAAAAGTTAATGTAACAATAACAATTTATAAATTAGTAACACAAAATAAAAGTTCAGGGACGTTACTTAAATCAGTTAGTTGTTGCGTATTCTCCACAGTTCTCTGATGGGTCAAAATTTAAATACAAATACGGAAACAGTAAAACGTATGCTGTTGTATGCGTTACCTCTTCTGATATGGTTTCATACATACAAGTCACATTTATGGGCAGGTTTTAAGTGTAGTTAGGATTCTCCAGTTTTCAATAACTTCGGAATTTACACCCAAATCTGCCACGCAAGGATTCGTAAAATAGTTTGACATAACCAGATTAATACAATAAAAATTTGTTTAGGTCCCTTTCAGTATCATTCTGTTTACATGTAACTAAGTCAACAGCTAACCAAAATTAGATCGTACCCATTTTATTGTTAAACTTCTCATCTCCGCTGAGATATGAAAACTCAGTACAACAGTGACGACTCATAACTTTACGTTCAATGAAACTGTGGGGTGTGAAGCTATGTTATCTTAACGTATTCCATTGTAGACCTAATATAGTGTGGTATTTGTAAGAAATAATGATTCGTTGCAATTGATGGCTCGGTGATTACGAGTTACAAATATAATACGTTATTTTTTGTGCACATCTAGCTCTACCTTCCAAAATCGCAATAGCTCGCGGGTTCTTAGTTTGCACATTAATTTGATTACTTTTAATTATAATTAAAAGTATTCGAATAACTCTATAGAGATATGATAATCAATTGTCACATAGAAGTGCTTACTTTAGTCGCCGCTTGAAACAAGTCTGCTTTATACAGCGATTGAGCGAAATAAAACTTATATTCTTCTATATCAGGGAAATGTTGAGTCAGTTGTTCGTAACAATCAGAAGCACTAACAAAATCTTGTAGCTGATAAAAGCAATAACCGAGTAATGAAAGTGCAGCTCGACTGCTTGGATGGACGAGGAGTTGTTGATTTAGCATGTTTACCGCTTCTTTATATTTCTGATCTTTAATCGCACCATATATAGCAGCCGTGAATTCCCCTTCTTTAAGTTTCATGATTTTGTATGCGCGAAAGCGGAGTTGCTATGGTCATAAATATAAACAAGTTTGTATAGCTTGTCCATTGATCATACTGTTCTCTCCATTTAGAACCTGCTCGTTAGCCTATTCATAATTAAGAAGCGTACAATTATTATCTGCAAACTAATTTGCATTCTGTTTTCGGGTTCAACCGTCTTCGAAATTGAAAACAAAGCATTTCCTATTCATAACGAATCCTACTTGCTACAGACAAGTACTGTTAATATTTTTACTGTAAAGATAATATAACGTTTATCACTGATCAGATGAAGAAGCAGGATGAGAAAGCCAGAACATTCCGTAGCTGGTGACCAGTGTAGTGGATGGAATACTCCAAAGTTACGTCTAAAGTGTTTCACTTGACAGCAATGTTATTTGCTTTTTTCTTTTTCCTTATCTTGCGTTGTAAATTTTATATGGAACTCATATGACTTCGTTTTGTATTTTTCGGCCATATCTGTCTTTACTTTCATTGTTGACTAGGCAGAGATTTATCTTCACTATGTAATTTTACTGATGCATATTGCTGTTTCAGTGACAATAACACCGTTTTTGGTTAAAGCCAAGGTCCATCCTTGAGTTGTTAATTTTGAGTGCATGTTGGAAAAGGTTACTAAAATTCCTGCCATGGATATTTGATCACATCTACTTACATATTCTCAGGCACTGAACATTTATTTATAAACAATTCTTATGGCTGTTTAGCAAGTCATTTTGCGTTAGATATAACCTTGGCTATATATATTATAACGTGTACAGTTTAAGGTATATTGTTCTCTCTATATGGTATTTTCTTTTTTAAATCAGAACCGTTCGAATGGAGTGCAGATTTAATGTTTTATTTGACTTGGTACCAGTCATCCAAAAACACTTCGTACTCTATACAGAATAACGCAGTTTGATATGAAGAAACAAAATCAGGTTCGTTAGCTCTTTATTCGGACCAAATACTGGACTCGCTGGTCGCTACATCTACGCTCTGTAGACTACGTCCCGAAGATCGTCAGTGCATCACTTATCATCAATTCAGTTATTACCACAATATCATTTATAGAGGATGTTAAGCATGAGGTACACGGATAAAGGCGGTACCTGAATAGTATGCTGGTGCAGGTGTAAAGCCCTTCTCTTAATCTTTGTTCGGTCAACCGTTAAAGAGTACAAGTTTCTTGCCAAAGACGAACAATAGCAATGGGTGTGATACAGTTGAAGAGGCATATTTCTAAGTGCTTATGGATAATACCCTTGATGGATCAGCAGTTGAACATAGTACACTAAAACGAATGGATGAGAAGGTTAACTTAATAATCAAAGGGAGAATGAAGCTAATGTCATATGGTGTGTACGTTGGAGGGCATGTTCCTATGCGCAATTATGCACACAAACGGGCTGCAATTAAACGCAACTCAATTTCGTAAATGTGCCCTTCAGCTTAGCAACTAATCAGAATGATGCGGGAATCATTATACCCGCCATCTTTGCAAGCAATGGCGGTCGGCTTTCTTCGTTCTGTGCTTTTTTCGGATATTTATTTGTGTAGCTATGTAACTTAATGTTTCAGTGTGCTAAAATGCCACAGTTAGTGTAATGTTCTACATGTAGGTGTGAAATTTATTTCGAATCAGCGATGTTTTCTGGGTTTTTGCTGTTTCTACTCGAGTCAATGTATTTCTTCAGGCAACCTGGCTAGTCTTGTGTTATAAAATGTCGGCTGGCTTTCTTGGTTCTGTGTTTTTTCCGCAATTTCTTTTGTGCAGCTACATAATTTAATTTTTCAGTGTGCTTAAAATGCAGAAGTTAATGTAATACTCTAAACGCTGAAGCAAATTTTTTCCTGATTTTGCTTTGTTTTCTGGGCCATATAGCAGTAATAGACGAGTTGTACTCATTACGTAGTGCGTTAAAGCAAGCTTAACATTGAAAAGCCGGAAATCTGCCACCAGTGTGTAGTGCATGTTTGCTGTTTTGGCTATAAAAGTAAGTCGAAGGGTCATGATCAGGGAGTCAAAAGGTAATTAACTGTTATTAAGCTGACTTTTTCATAGATCATATTTCACCACTCGCAAATTTGTGTTTTTTTACAGTATGATGTCAACGGTACCTAATATGTTCACCACTTATGATGAAAAGTACCTGCAAATTTTCACCTTCATATTCGCATTATTTTTGGACAACGGTCTTCCAATTTGAGTGCTTCGTACGCCCTGAGAGACTAGATTCCTACATTATTCGTAGTTCCAGTAAAACTTTCACGCAGTACGTTCAAATTAGACTCTAGTCTTTCTAAATAAGCCTGTTAAACTAATATCTGTATTCTCTATTTCGATTAATCGATGAAGACATGTACCACGTGCATATGCTGTATACTTCTATTTTACTCTAATTCTAACTGCCAAATCTTCTGAAAATTAAAATTGCTATATGCAGCAAATACAGACTTATTTGTTTTGATGAAGATAAGTGGATTCATGGGATTTTTAGCAGGACCGTGGTAATATTCTTACTCAAAAGCTAAGCGAGTGCGTAGACGAGTGTAAGGTACCATACAGGGTGCATTTGAGTTACTAATGTTCCAGTAGTGTGGGTACAGGCATTGCTTGCTTATCATATAGCATTTGAATAAGAAGCTATGAGACTAGACGCAAGTACGATTAGGATGTGTAACGCGTGTCCATCCGTCATCTGCCGTGACAACCCGTGGTGGTTAGAATTAATTATGAGAGGACCCGAGTCTATAGGTTTCCAAGAAAATGACGAAGATATTTACCAAGTCACTTAGATTTACTACATACGAACTAGGTGCTGAGAGGCTCGTGTGTCACATGTTTCTTGCAACGATTAAGCAGTTAAAACAAAGTGGCATTAGATTTAAAAATTTATTCAGGAACTTTCATTAAAAGTCGAATATCAAACAAAGGTTTAAACGAAGTTCTCGCCTAAAAGTTGAATTGATAATGTCAAGCTGCAGTCGTTGTTGTTTTTTTTTCAAACTAAAGTGTAAAAAGGGTAACAAAAAGGTTTAATGATACATACTGGTTGAAGCTGTATATTTATTTGAAGACATATTGCAAGAATTGACATAGGTCAACAAGATTGAAGACTGAAAACTGCACAAGAACATAATTAATATATTGGACGTTGAGTCCATATCGACCTTGACTTTGATCATCAAGATCAGAAATGAGTGCAACTGCTTTGCTGATTCTGTCTGAGGGAGCTGAAGAGATAGAGGCGGTGACTGTTGCTGATGTACTGGCTAGAGCAGGAGTAAACGTTACTGTCGGTGGACTTCAGGGTGATGGAGTGGTCAAGGGAAGCAATGGTGTTTGCATAAAGCCAAATGTTTCACTTTCCAGCGTTTCATCACAACTTTTTGATTTGGTAGTAATGCCAGGTGGTATGGGTGGTTCCAATGCTATGGCGTCATCGAAATTAGTTGGTCAAATACTTAAAGAACATGAAAAACACGGCAAATACATTGCAGCAATTTGTGCTGCACCGATCGCCCTGGAATCTCACAAAATCGCCATAGGAAAAAAGCTGACATCTTATCCGGGCTTTGAGGATAAACTTCCGAGTTATACATATTGTGAAGACAAAGTTGTTGTTGATGATAAACTTGTTACAAGTCGAGGTCCAGGAACTGCGCTGGCTTTTGCAATGAAGCTAGTTGAATTACTGTGTGGCAAGTCGAAAGCCCAAACGCTAACAAAAGGCATGCTTGTTTCACTTTAAGACATTTAAACTTTCCGGTTCTTCTGCTTTCGTTCCATCATATTAGATTTGATAAACTACATACCCATTCGAAATACTTTCATACATTCTTTCAAATAAATTTCAATAACTACTGTGTATTTGTTCTATTCGCTTTATTGTATTTGGATAGAAAAATGTCGTAAGATGTTATTAGGTTTTACTATCTATGATAGTACACTAATATAGGTTGCACTGCGATATTCACCTTGTAGAAATAAATATGTTAAACCGCGTCCATCGATATCGAATTATGATCCATTTCGTCTGTTTTTAGACTATCCACGCTTTTATGATTGATCCCATATATTACAATGTAAGCTCTTAAAAAGTCTTGTATGACTACTGTTGCTACTTCAAGTAGTATATCAGTGCGACCCCATGATCTCCAGCTGGCACATACGAGAACGGTCACTGTTGGGAAATGAATAAGTAACGTTTGCTTAGGTATTTCAGATAACAGTCATCGACTAAGTGAGTATCCCAATAATTAGTTCAAGCTTTCAGGATATGTATGAGATCACTAAACTTAATCAGGAATCTTGATGCAACCTGGCTTTTGCTTCTTAGTATGTCGATATTTTATAAGCATTTGTCACAGTAGAGGTGATTAATGTAGTTCCCAAAATGTCTGTTTGGGAGTTTGTACACAACTTATATCCCCAATCTTGATTGTCTTCCATGTATTTAGTCAGGGAGTTGTTGGATATAAATATTTGTATACTGGGTGGTTTTCACATAAGCATTATCCCCTACCTCGAAATCCGTTAACAATGATTTGGGACTAAATTAGGACCTTGTTGAAATCACTATAACAACTAGTGTCTATTAAAGATGCTACTTACTACCTTATCGTTGATTAGTGTAAGACGTACAATATCCCTAAAATCTGGTACTAGGCAAAATCAACCTGCATTAGTCTTAATACTTTCGGAAAAACAGTAGAATTAGTTTGGTTTATACTTTCTTGAGTGAGAGGATAGAGGATGAAGATTTTAGTTACTACACACATATCTTTATCCATTCTAACAAATGGTTCCCTGACTATCTTGGCACAAATATTGAGAGCGCAAGACTCACTTTGTAATCTAAGATAGTACCATTATACCCTCTCCCTAGTAATTGACGTTTAGGTATGCAGCACGAATTATCTTCCCATTATATTCTGTAATTGTACAGGTTGATGATGCTTCACCTAGATTTTGACAAAGAGCTCCACCCAT